AAAAAAAAAAAAAAAAAAAAAAAAAAAAAATTGGGAACAAACCCCGATACATTTTCAAAAATCCTTTTATGAAAACTTCATATTTTGCATACAAAATACGAATCTATTAATATATAATAAGGATTAACTTAATTCAATTTTAGAAACTATTTCCCGCCAAATTCATTAATTATAGCCTAAAAATAGTAAATTAACATAATTTCCTAAAATTGCTCTTAATTATTTCTGATTAACATTATTTTTTTTATGGAATAAAACTTTTTATGGAATAAATCATTTACGCCATTATTTCTGATTTTTATTTATGGAACAAATCATTTTGTGGCTCCATTAACAAAATAACGAGCATTAATTGCACATAATTTCCTATAATTGCTCTTATTTATTTCGGATTAACATTAATTATTTATGGAATAAATCATTTTTTCATGCCAAGATTTTCGATTTTTTGTGGCTCTACTAAAAAACAACAAGCATTAATTGCAGATACTATGGAATAAATCTCCTCTTTTTAATTCTTCATATAAATCTCCTCTTTCAAGGCTCCATATAAATCATTTATATGATAAAATCTTAACAATATCTTTCTATTTAAATAATTTTCATCAATCACTCTTTTCGGTACCAACGTGCTAAACGACAATTTGTATAAAAGAATATTCACTATCACGATTATTTCTTCACTTCATTCACAGTGTTCAGAGAAAAAAAAAATATATAGATAAATTTTAGAATACAACAATAATATAATGTCGCCGGTCTGTGATACACTCGATTCCGTGAGTAGGACAAACAAACCTTATTTGCGATCGAAAGCAGTCTGAATAATTGAAACGCATCATGAACGGGAGAGCTGGAACGCATTCCATATACTGTTTCATGATGAACAGGTAAATATTTTCATTAGTAATATCAATATTATTTCTAATATATTTATATTATGAATTTCATTGAACACTCGGAAAATGACAAAATGGACCGGACGACACTAAAGCGAACCTAAAAATGACTCGATAACACATATAAACACATAAAAATAAGCACAAAAACATAACAAACATGTATAAATTTTTGTTTCTATAATAAA